GAATAGAATGGAAATTAGAGGTAGTTGACGCAAGCTATTTATATATCATTTCATTCATTTGCATGGAATATAATATTCAAACCAATTCGTAACGTTACATAATAGTTTAGAGATGTTTGACTTTGTCTTTGATGACATTCAATGCATTCGACATTGTCTTTGATGACATCGAATGCATTTGACGTTGCTTTGATTAGAGGTTTCAAATGGGTTTTCGGTTCGGGTTCGGGTCCAACTCAATCGACCCGCCTTCAATTGATCCAACTCGAACTTGACTCGATTAGACAAATGGGTCAGAAATGCAGACCCAAACCCTACCTTCCCCTATCTCTGGTTAACCCAACCCAACCCGCTGACCTGATTGAGGGAAACTGTGCTTGCGATCGTGTGCAGGCGAATGGGCGCACAATTGCGTAGGCGAGTGCGGGCGCATGCAGGAGAGAGGGTGAGGGGGCATGCAGGCTAGCGGGCGAGGGGGAGGTGGGTGTCGCGTTGGGTGTGGTGCAGTGCAAGCTGGCGTGCGGGCAATGGGGCAAGTGCGATAACACGAGGGCGACTGTGCGCAATGAATCGTAGATGGACGAGCGCACACGAGTTGGATTGCGCAGGTCGGTTCAAGGTTGATTTCGGTTTGACCTGAACTTGACCCATATTTGCAATCAGGTTAGGATTTGAAATTTGAATCCGACCCTTTTTCCAAACAGATTGATCCGAACCTTGAATTTTCGATTCGGGTTCGGGTTGGGTTTTTTGGTCATGTCAAATATTGACACCCCTAGCTTTGATGACACTCGACTTCTTTTAGATTAATTTTAATAATATTTAATGCAATTATTATTATTTTGTACAATGGAAGAATTTAGTCGTTAGCTTAGGTAAAATATCGGAAACAAGCAAGTGTTCATGAGGAAAGTTAGGTACAGGTTAAGTTGTTAATGAAAGTAATTTGAAATATTAATATAAATGTTAAAATAGTTGCTTAAATTGATGTAATTATGTCTTTGATTGTTAGGTTGTGCACTAAGGCCATTTAAGAACTTGAGGAATTTGAAAGTTGAATTTTGACCTTAGAAAGAAATTGAATTGGGTGATTACATTTTATAATATAGCACTTATAGTTTTTATATATTGAAGATTACCAAGTTTAAGCGCAAGTGCAAGTGGTGGAAGAATTCTTAAATACATAGAGATTCCTTCCTAAAAAATTTGTCTAGTATGTGCTTGTAAACTCGAAGGGGCGTGAGCTTGATGGATCTAATTGATCTAATTTTGTTGATGTGTGGGTCACAGCAACTAGAAGTGATGGAGTCAATTGAAACAAATGTTGAGTTGCTTTCTTCCCTCCAATTATAAACTGATGCTATATCTTCAATGCTAAAGATGTTCAGAAGGAAATTACTCTGTTAACGTATACACTAAAGAATTTTATTGCTTTAGTGCTGGAAACAGTCTTAATAAGGAAAAACAAAATATAGTGGTCCATAATGTTCCTGGTCGAAAGATGCAGTTCATGAAAAATTCAAGATGAATGTTGTGTAGTCTCTTTCAAAACATCAACAATGCCTATTGCGTAGATTATAACTTTATTGGAGCCAAAGAATAGCCGTAAATTTTAGATGCAATTTGTAGGAAAAAAAAGTAGTAAAGCTAACAAGTTTGTCATGGCGACTATGGTGAAAGCAAAAATCATTTTTAATCTGATTGGTTTTATGGAAGCAAAAATGGAACCAACCATCAAAGATTAAAGAAAGTCAAAATCATAACAATAACCGAATCGATACTTTAGCAATTGAACAAAACCAACAAAATAAGATCGGGTTAGTTCAATTTTTCATTTTTATCCAAATATTGCACACCCTTATTATCAACTTTGTCATTTATGACTTCTTTGATATGACGATATATATTCATCAGACCATTATATGCTTTGGCTATTGTGTCTTTACATATGTTCTTGACTATGTAATCATAATGTGGTTAGATGTTTTAACATGACCTTTCACACATCAACTTCGAATTGAGCTTCTAATCCTAATTTCATAACTATTCGTATAACTAATCATGCATAATTTTGCTTACCTTATAATATATTGTTAAGGTCACCAACATATTAGTGATCAACTGAAATTGTTTTGATAGACATAAGTTGATATGGTTTGATTGTTGGCAAGACTCTCATTGTATATCTCTTCTCTCATCACGTGTTGAATTCTTAGTAAGATTTCATATGATCTATAGGGACTTGTGTTCACCTTATTTACCATTGTATGTTATTGGTTTCAAGAAAGGAAAAGATGACCTTTGGATGGGTGATCATACTCATTATCAGGCATTTAAAAATTATAGTATAATGATCTATATTTGAGGACATCATGTTTATGTAGATATTATAGGTGATGTAAATATGGAGATTTTGTGGGATTACTTTATTTTTGATGTGGTAATTATAGAATTTACTCATTTTGATTGTGATGCTAGTGATGATGTTCGATATCCTCTTTGGTATAATATAAAATCCAGAAAAATCTCATAACTTGGTCAGTAAGCACCATTATTTTGATGATGTATATGAAACCTTTTTAATTATAGATTTTATAATCAAGAAAACGAAAGCTTTTGTTACCATATATGTTTATATTCTTACTATTTTAGAGGCTGTGATGTACTAAATTAAGAATGTGTAATTCGATTGAATCCATGTTCTTCTTGATCTTGGAATTTAGAGGGCCTGCCTTTGAAGAGTATTGAAGCTGACATTGAGCGAATTAAATTGATTTTCTCCTCTTGTGACGCTTAATGTGGCTTACTATCATGTAGTCACATTTTATGAGTTCATTATACATGGTTTATGGCGTGGACTTGATTTTGCTATATATTTGGTGGTGTGTTTAGTGCGGACAAGTGATAGGAAACACTTGCGTTCGCAAGTAACCTAACCAAAATCGGCGAACATTCAACAGCAAAACTGCTGTCCGCAGCAGAAAACAGCATAAATCTGCTGTTTACAGCAGAAAAAACAGCAAATTCCACAAGGAAATCTGAGAGAAAACTCAAAGAAAAGCTTGTATTCCACTCGTCGATGAATAAAATAGCAAAGATACAATTGATTCTTAACCTCTCGAGGAGGATCGATCTCTCCCAAATCTCTAGACGCCGCTAGAGCCCAAAGAAAACCTAAATCTAAGAGATCTCAAATTTCAGCCAAATTCAAGATGCCCAAACCCTAGGAAAAACATATATTTAATGCTTCTAAACTTTTATCTCCATAGCGTCCATCAAGTGGCTTATTTCAATGTTTATCATGATGCATACGGGATAAGTTAATGTGTTTTTTGCTAATTCTTTTTTTCGTGAATAGTATCATCCACATAAGGACTTTCTTGGGTTTGGTCCATTTAGAGCACCAAAATAGGCTACCTGTCCTAGTTGGGGGTAAATCAATTCAATTTGACCTTATTTCATGAGCCTTATGTCATTTTTTTATTCTACTCTCTCTCTCTCCACCTCTTTCGTTTAAGTCCACAGTCAATCCTTTGCCAGATATTTTTATACCGCATGTTCCAATGGCTACTTTAGCTGTCTTGTATTCAAGAGTTGTGTTGTTCATCGACGAGACAGACTTGATTGCAATGATTCATGGGTTACTTTATAGAAGGCATATAATCTACGTCCTAATTTACTTGATGAATATCAACTGCTCAAATTTGATAGAAATCTTCATATTTATTATCATCGAAAGCATTATAACTAGTAATTATCCTTACATAACTTATTTATTTAATTAATTGATTTATTTTATTTTATTATTTATGTAATTAAAACATGCCCGTGATAATGATCAAGAGAGATTTTATTTATTTATTTTTCTTTAGATTAGCTTATATGGTTCAACATAATTGGTGTTTTATTCAATTTATATCAATTAGCAAAAGATGCATGCGGCTGAGGCGTCCGAGTCTTTGAGAGTTGGTTTGGAGTGGTGAAAATTTTGATTTATACTTGATTGAGACTTACCATAAATTTGAATTTAATTGAGCTTGGGTGGTGGATATTAGACTTATACTGAGAGAAGATGTATCTACTTTTACACTGGTGGTTGTGACTTGTGAAGGGGATCTCGGATGGGGCTTGTTGCATCTGATCTGTGGTTTTATCACTTCTGTGAGCCATGTTGGTGGATGGGACTAGTAGCTTATATTGGAAGGATATATGCATATGAGTTGGCTATTGATATTTGCTTATAGGATGTTTTGTTCATGTGTTCATGATATTTAAATTTAAATTGTTTTTTTTTTAATAACAAAGTTAAATAGAGATTGATTCTATGACAAACTTATCTACTTGCCTAGGGTATGGTAAGTTTATAAATGGTTTTACAAGGCATATCATTTATAACTCTGTGTTTTGAATAAAATTCATCTTTACAGTTCAAGTTTATGAGCAATTTCTCTTTATAACAAGATTTAGACTTCCGAAGTGCAATTGCATTTTCCCTTTTAGTAAACCTGGTATATATGAACTAGCCAATCACAATTGATATATTTTTAAGGTGCTTACAAACTTTTTAGGTGTCTATTTGCATTAAGGGTGGCATTGTCATTACGGAAAGGAAATTAAATTTGAAATGAAGAAATTTATATAGAACCCGTGGATACTCTCTAATGGGTAAGAGTGTATTAATTGTAGTATTTAGTTGATGCGCAAATTGTTTATTAAAGGTAGTTCAAAATGTTGAATTCCAAGTTTGACCTTAAATTTACTCCAGCATTTATGTCACTTGCTAGCAGTTCATTTTGAACGGGAGATTTGCCTGTAATGTTTCAGGTCATGAAAATCTTATTCCAACACTTCACTAATTTGTTTCATACTGAGAGTATTACAACATCCATTGGAGGGAATTTATCCAATCTTTGATTACAGAGAGATTATTATGTACGCCTGCATAGACAATAAGCTATTCTGTTGATCTTATCACCTGGCTAACCTATATAAATCTGCAGATTTTATGTTGCAGAGGTCCTCCTTGCTTTGGAATATCTTCACATGCTTGGTGTGATATACCGAGATCTTAAACCAGAAAACATCTTGGTTAGAGAGGATGGACATATTATGCTCTCAGACTTCGATCTTTCTCTCAGATGTAATGTAAATCCAGTCCTCCTCAGGTCCTCTTCACTTGGGTGGGAAGAGGCAAGAACTTCAGGCCCTTGTGCTGAGTCCAGCTGCATAAACCCTCACTGCCTTCATCCATCTTGGCCTCAAATTTCTTGTTTCACCCCTCGTCTCATCTCTTCGTCCAAAGCCAAGACGCAAAAAATAAGATCTGATGCAATTAATCACATCACACCTCTTCCGCAGCTTGTAGCAGAGCCTTCGGATGCTCGCTCCAACTCCTTCGTCGGCACACACGAGTACCTTTCCCCTGAAATCATCAAAGGTGATGGACATGGAAGTGCAGTAGATTGGTGGACATTTGGAATATTTCTGTATGAGTTGCTCTATGGAATGACACCCTTCAAAGGATCTGGGAATGAAGAGACTCTGGCCAATGTGGTGTCTAAGAACTTGAAGTTCCCAGAGACTCCAGCTATCAGCTTAAATGCAAGGGACTTGATCGAACGCCTACTAGTAAAGGATCCAGACAACAGACTTGGTTCAGTGAAGGGATCAGCTGAGATCAAGAGGCACCCATTTTTCGAGGGGCTCAACTGGGCTTTGATACGGTGTGCGGCACCTCCGGAGGTGCCGGGGAGCTTTGATTTGAGTTCACCGTTGGCTGTGTGCAAGATAAAGGAAGGCAAGAGCCTGACTTTTAGTAAAAGCATGGGCGATGTGGAATTTGAGCTGTTCTAGTAGAGAAAGTTGGTTACTTGAGGAAGTTACTGTGAGGCTCTATCTAATAATCTGTGATGTAACTCTACTTCTACAATGGCAATGAGCTTTCTTTCCTGTCAGTTACATCATCTATATATGGCAATGGCGATGAGCTCTCTTTCCTTGATCTAATAGAGCTTGATTCTGCTTCTGTTGCAGAACTCCAAGGCTCTCTATTTGGAATGGAGATGGAAGAAATGGAAGGACATGACATGAACCAGGTGATATTGATTTGAAATTTTCAACCTTTTTTATTTTCTTTACTTGCATTCAAATTCCCCAGAGAAGCATATGGTCTGTGCGCTGTACTCTCCTGGGTAACATATTTTATCTTTTGATTTTGACTTGTCACCATTAGAAGCCTGTGATATTACTCTGTTGTTGAAGATTTTCAAGCCTGAATGTTTTTAATGCAGTTCATCTTAGCTTGCAATCAAGAGGTCTCAGATTTAATGTCTATATGTGCAATGTATATGTGAATTTGTGATTAAAGTAAGTATTGTCTAAATCTATATATGAGCACTGTTTTCCTTTGATGGCTTTGCTTGTTCTTAAGGTTTCCTCCTATAGGTCTCTTATTGTTGGTTAATGTGATGCTTATTTCATTTATATGTAGTTTTTTCATGGATTGATTGTGAGCAATGATGTCAAACATTCCTGTTAAGTGTTAACCAGCTTGTGTTCCTCTCCATCGAGAAATTATTCTATGTGGGCGTCGAACGTCATTCGGACACCAATCAGAATGAGCCACGTCGGTACCGCGGCTTGGTACTGCTCGGTATCGCTCGATACCGCGCTCGGTATTGCTGACATGGCTCATTCTGGTTCGTCTCCGAATGTAGAGCTACGTTCGGCGTTCGCACAAAATAATTTATCCTCTTCATGGTTGATATTTCTTTTGATATGGAGTTTTAGGTTAGTGATGAGCTTGGGAATTTATTTATTTTTTTATTTTTTTTGGACATTTAGGTTAATTAAGTCAAATTCACGTACATATCACATACGCAAGATTTGAATACAAGACTTTTTGGTTAATAGTTAAAACTCTCAACTAATAGACCAAGTTAAGTTGTGTAGCTTAGGAATTTGATTTATGATTCCATTTTATTATGGAACATGCACTGAACATCTGTGTGGTGCAGTTGTAACTGTTTGTAAAATTAATTGTAAAAGGATTGTGAGAATTTTTTTTTTTTTTTTGGAAGTTGTGAATATTTCCTTTGAATGAGATATCAGATTTCTTATAATAAACACATTCAAATTGCATGTTTTTATATTTTTTTATAAAAAATAAAATTTAGAAAAAATAATAAAAATAAAAATTATATA